GTCATACTGGCTTGGCTGTCACCCCGGTTGAGCGCGCATATACTTAAGTGTCATTTAAGGAACATTTTTGTTGTTTTGTGTTTCCTCGTTAGGTTGGGAATCTAAAAGCTCATTTAAAAATCCACATTACAGACGGGCCTCTCAAGTGCAAAGAATGTGGCAAGCAGTTTACCACTTCAGGTAAAAAAAGAAGTAATAACAATGTTGCTTTTTTTCTCCCTGCATTTTTATTGTCACAGTGAATAAAACGCTCTCTGTTTCTTCATGAATACAAATTCTACCTGTCATATTGATCTTGAGAGAAATTAAGGACCAAAAAAATATCAAAACATACACCATTGATTTGTTATTTTATTTATTTATTTATTTTTGTACTTACCAACAGAAACCTACTTTGCTCCTTTCCGTTAGTAGGTAGTGTTAGTCAGTGTTATTCAGTTTGAAAATGGTTTGGGATATACAAAAAACCCATTAAACTGCATGCAAGTACAACAAATGTTATATTTAGAGATTCAGTAATAATTATAATATCACTAATAATATTAAAATAATGATAAATACTATTAAAATAAAGTGTGATATCCAATAGTTAGACCATACATGAACAAAATTATTTAATTGCTTTTAGTTGGTGTGTTACTATGTAGAATTGTTTTTCTTCTTTGAGCCATTTGGTCTAATCTGTGTGTACTAATACCTGCTTTTTAGGGAATCTGAAGAGGCACCTGCGGGTTCACAGCGGGGAGAAACCGTACGTCTGCGGGCACTGCCAGAGAGCTTTCAGTGATCCTGGAGCTCTGCAGCGGCATGAGCGCATCCATACAGGTACTCTGGGGATTCTGGGGAACTTATTTTCATTCTTCCATCTGAATCCCTGTGTGAATATTATCTACTTCCCACGATAGTGAAACAGTTATTTATATGTTGCAGGAGAGAAGCCCTGTGTCTGTATTATCTGTGGTAAAGCTTTCACTCAGGCCAGCTCCCTCATCGCTCATGTCCGCCAGCACACAGGAGAGAAGCCCTACGTCTGCGATCGCTGTGGTAAAAGGTCAGCACGGCACAGTGCTGCAATGATAGGCTCAGGTTTCAAACTCACTTGTAGCTGAGGTATAGAAACTGGCATTATTTAACAGGGATGTTTGAGAGGGGAATATTAAGTGTAGTTTAGAGGTTTTGACCTGTGTAGGCGGTAATGAGAATTGAAGATAATATAGATTTGTGGTCATTCTCAAAGGTCAAGTAACAGTGACCTGTTATAGTTCATTCAAATGATAGTGAGAGTACTGAGATTGACCAAATTAGAGATTAAAATACTGTTTAAAAGATTATTTTCTTATGAACAAAATGAATAAATGTGTCAGTAAAGTAGATGAGAGGAAATATCATATATATGTTTTTGTGCAGGTTTGTGCAGTCTAGTCAACTGGCCAATCACATTCGCCATCACGACAACGTCCGCCCGCACAAGTGTCAGATGTGCAACAAGGCATTTGTTAATGTGGGAGACCTGTCGAAGCACATCATCATTCACACAGGTGAAGAACAAATTTGTTACAAGGCTTTTTTTTGGGAGAGTGAGGGTTCACCTGTTGAGCAGCTAAGTCTCTGTTTCCCACCACATTTGTATCCATCCAGCAGAACTCTGATCTTTCACCGTCAATTGACTACTTATCTTTGTTTTGTTGTCTCAGGAGAGAAGCCGTTCCTGTGCGATAAATGTGGTCGGGGGTTCAATCGCGTGGACAATCTGCGCTCTCACGTCAAGACTGTGCACCAAGGCAAGGCCGGCATGAAGCGGCTGGTGGTGTCAGAGGGAAGCTCAGACGAGTTGGGTGATGGAGGAGCGGGGCCATGCACCTCTGACAGCGAGATCAACATCGTCACCGTCACCACGGAGGACATTGTCACACTGGCGACAGAGGCCCTGGCGGCCAGTTCTGTAGCTCAGCTGACAGGTCAGACTACATCTTCAAGGCTAGAATGTAATCAACAACACAGATGTTTGTAGATGGCTGTGAGGCACAGACGGTGACAATGTTTGTGTCTGTTAACAGTAGTTCCAGTGGCTGCTTCGGTTTCTGCAGATGAGACCGAAGCTCTGAAAGCTGAAATCACCAAGGCCGTGGAGAAAGTGCAAGAAGCAGGTAAGACCTGGCATTATAAAAAAATTAAATGTAATGTTATGAATAGGGATGGGTACCGGTGTCGGTTCTGACATAAACGGTAGTAACCAGACCGAAAAGCAGCGCACATTTCGGTGCTTTATTTCGGTGCTTTTTTTTCCTGAGCTGTGATACACTTCTAGCCAATCATTTTACGTTTCCGAGGATAGTAGGCGGGTCCAGGTACGTGCGTTCTTTTAGAGCAGAGCTACAGATTAAAAATGCCCAAGGCGAAGCGGTCAAAAGTCTGGCTGTACTTCACAGTAAAATATGCAAACTCAGCAGCAACAAGTGCTTTAAGCTGATACTGTGATACTGTCAAAGGAGGTAACACCTCAAATCCGATGAAACACCTGGCAACGCATAGCGGGTTTTTTTAAAAGCCCAGAAATGCGCCGTATGATAGCTTGCTGCGAGACCTCACACCGAGCACATCTACTGTGCGTGGGTTGCCTGTTATCGGACCCGGAGTTAGCAATATCCCCCAAAAACACGAAGAGGAGAGTCCTGGCCCCTAGCCCTGTCAGTGTAGCAGAAATGATGACGGATGATGATGGCAGCAGCAGCCGTTCTTCTCTGCGTGAGTAGCTTAATGTTGTTCGCGTGTAATTTACGTTTAGTAGGCTAACCACGTTATTACATTAATGCATGTAAGGTGAACTAGCAAACATCATCATAGCTACATGCGGCTGTGCTCTTGTTTGATGGCAGATACTCCCTTCACCCTGGCCAAAAAGGCCTAAAATGACCAAAGAAAAAGTGGAAAACAGTTAAACATGAGAGGTTTTGGACAAAGTTTGTGTTTTTTCCCATTGATTAAGCACTGCTTCCAGCCAAGAGTGATACCATATATGCCCCATAGCTGCAGAAAAGGCTAACATTGTTATCTTTTTACAAAAAACCAGCTGAACATGAGAGGTTTTTGGACCAATTTTGTGTTCTCCAGTCTTTAAGCACCAGTTTGAGCACCGTTTGAGCACCGGCACCGTTTCAAAAGTACCGATTTGGCACCGGTATCGGATAAAACCTAAACGATACCCATCCCTAGTTATGAATGACAACAAAATATCAGACATGGTTTGGGGGAGTAGCAGTATGGAGTGTTACGCTTATAAGCTGAAGTCCATTTATTGACCCTGAAAACAATAATCAGTAAAAGAAGCTGAATATGTACGTATGAGTATGTGAGACAGATTTTGAAGTACACAGCTACTTGCATAACCATCTAAATGGTCTCAATGAGAAGTATTATTACAGTACTGTAAACAGTACCGTAAACTTCATCAGAAGCCAGTTCCTTTTTCTTACACAGAACAGGACACAGATTGAAAAATGGTTCGTTTGTTCATGAAACCTTCTTCTCTTCTCAGATCCCAACACGCAGATTTTGTATGCTTGTGATTCGTGTGGCGATAAATTCTTGGATGCCAGCTCCTTAGCTCAGCACGTACGCATCCACACAGCTCAAGCCCTGGTCATGTTTCAGGCAGATTCCGACTTCTACCAGTACACCGCAGCCACCACTGCCGAGGGGGATTCCACTGCAACATGGCAACCCACACCCGAACAGGTCATCCACGAAGGAGAGCTAATCTTCCGTGCTCAGGTTGGAGAGGGAGAAACAGAGGACGGGATGATTGGAGAGGCGCAAGAACAAGAAGAATCAGAACAGGAAGTTCAGGAGAAGGTGGAGAATGGACAGGTGGAGACCACCACTGAGATCAAAACATATGAAAAAGATGTAGAGGAGGACAAGGAGCAGGAGATGGAGTGTGAGAGGCAGTCGTAGTGGGGCAGATTTGTTTAAAGTGTGTGTCATTTTGCTTGTAAATGAAATGAGATTTATACTGTATAAGGAGAAGTAAGAAATGAAGTGTGTTTATGAGTTTTGTTAAATATGAACTGGATTCATAACAGACACTGTTCCTGAAAAAAAATTCTTTCCAGATTTGTGATCAGTAATCATGTCCTGTTTTCAGCAAACAAGGTGAGATCTAGTAGTTTTTGTAAACGTTGAGAGGCGGTTATGCTACTTTGTGTAGTTTATTTTTAGACTTCAGTGTAGGACTGTGCTTCGTCCATTATATAAAACATTTTAAAGTCTGTCTTACCCAGTATAACTTAAAGAAAAGAATTCTATGTGATATTTTTCCCATTTTTATGATGAAATAATAATATAATCATTTTCTTTAAACATCCAAAATATTTTTCTTGTACTTAAAGTATTTTCATGCAGAGAATGTTACTCAAAGGCTATCTACATGAACATATATGAGTACTAAACTAAAGTAAAGGACACTTGATGCCTTTTTACAGAAGCAAGGTGTTGTAAATCTTGTGTTTGGATAATATTTGTATATTTGTCATGTTACCTCTGAAAAGATTAGACTTGTGTACAGTGACGACAAACTGACAAATGTCACAAGACATTTTTGTGTCACTATTGATTTTTGTGTCATTAATTTGTCTGCAGAATGGATAAAACCCCTAATACTACTTTTACTGGAAGATGCCATCAGCTCAATAAAGAATTGCCACTGCTTGTGTTGTGCTCTTGTTTTTACTAAAAATAAATAAAAAGAATAACAAAGGCTTATGTGCCTTGCTTATTATTTAAAAACAGAAATAACTTAAATGACAGCTGAAAGGCATAATCCTTTAAGTCGTTTAAACCCCGTTTTTGTTGTAAATATTCAGTAAAAATGTGCATATTTATATTTCGATGCCTGGACTTACCTGTTTGCCAGGCTTACAATGAAGCTCTCACGCTATTGGTTGACTGGCAGTCAGAGCGACGCGTTCCGCTCTGTGATTGGCTGCCTCTTAGGGTCAGAGTTTAGTCAACTGCTAACGCTGACGTCGACTTCTGCAGCAAAATGGCGGCGCTGACAGCAGTCATGCAGACGAACCGGTCCGGTTCTTTATCATCGTCCAAAAAACGAACCGGAACGGTGTTAATGAGGCGGTTCAAGCTTTTGGACCATAGCGTCCTTTTATTGCTGTCGTTAGCCTCCGTGCTGCATTGTGCTTTGGCTGACGGTAAGACGTTGGTGCTGCTGGACAACCTCAACATCAAAGACACCCATTCAATCTTCTTCCGCAGTCTGGCAGGTCAGTATGATAATACTATTTTTTTGCAGCTTTACTTACTCTGCTATGCAGTCGTATATATGCCTCGTTTACCGGGCATCAGCAAGTTTTTGGCAGCTAACAAAAAGCCGCTGCTAGACCAGAAATTGATGCACGATAGCAAGAATGCTAACATTAGCTTAGCTGTAATGTGTTCGCGGTCCTAACGTAATTTGAGCCTCTTACAACTCAGTGTAATATAATAATATAGATGAAGATGTGCTCGATGCTGTTGTTGTTAAAATTATTTAAATAATACTATGCATTTCCGTGCATATTTGCATTTCCGCTCCTCTGCTCTTCTGGTTTGCTGGTAGGTACAGTAGTGGGAGAAATCCACTTTCCTGATTAGGCAACAGTCTTCAAAAGAGGAGTTCATACAGTTTGGGTTATTACTGTTTTAAGAAGACATGTAAAACAAAACGTTTTGTCTGAAGATACAACTTTTTGTAATACTCGGGGATATTGCATGCTTTTGTTAGAGATAACATCAGAGCTTGCACACCTTTGCTGTATCCTGTTGTAGTAAACATGTCCTAATTTTCAAAAACCACTGTGTTAAAACTTTAGCCTTAGTACAGCATTGTTACTGTTAATTATAATGCATCTGTCTTCTTCAGACCGTGGATTTGACCTCACCTTCAAGACCGCTGATGATCCCTCCCTGTCGCTGATCAAATATGGCCAGTTCCTGTATGACCACTTAATTATCTTCTCACCATCAGTTGAAGGTGAGTTTCGCAGCGTTAAAACAAAAAATAAATAAATTGTGGCAGGTGATTTCTTCCTGAAGGTAAACACTTTTTTGTCATCCGCAGACTTTGGTGGAAATATAAATGTGGAGACTATTACATCCTTCATTGACGGTGGGGGCAATGTCCTGGTTGCTGCAAGTTCAGACATCGGTCAGTTGATTTATAACAGTGTTTGTTCAAGTCATATATTATTTGAAATGTTTAAGTATGATCATTCAAGTATTTTTGTTTTGTTCTTGTTTCACAGGCGACCCTCTGAGGGAGCTGGGCAGTGAGTGTGGCATTGAGTTTGACGAGGAAAAGACTGCCGTCATTGATCATCACAACTATGATGTGTCTGATCCTGGAGAGGTAAATGGCTTGGCCTTTACACAGCTGCCATTTTATGTTTTGTTATGTTGTTGTAATTTGTGATCTTTTGTAACTCCAGCATACCCTGATTGTCGCTGACCCAGAGAACCTGCTGAAAGCTCCCACTATTGTCGGCAAACCCACCAAGAAACCTGTTTTATTCAAGGGTGTCGGGTAAGCACAGTGATTTTCACGCTGATGTGTAATAAATGATAAATTCATCCTTTTAGCTGGAGCAGAGACTTGTGTCAGAAGATGTAACAGATAGTGTTGTTAGATTTTTAGTCATTGTAAAAGATTAACTCCCATGCTCAGTGGAAAATATATTGAATGTGGCTCACTTCTTCCAGCATGGTGGCAGACCCAGACAACCCTCTTGTCCTGGACATCCTTACTGGGTCCTCCACCTCCTACTCCTTTTTCCCTGACAGACCCATCTCACAGGTAATACTGTTGACATGTCATGATAATGTCAGGTAATGAATTATGATTTATTCAGGACAAACTGTCCCGGGCATGATAAGTAGCCCTTTAAAATTAAAATTGTGTAGTAATGCTTTTGGAAGAAAAAGACAAGCTTATTGTGCACTACCTCATTTTCTCCGCGATGTATAACGTGGTCAAAGTTTCAGAACAAAGGGTGGAGCTAAAACTGCTTTGTTCAGGCAGAATGAACCACAGGGCAGCACCAAGCCCAGTATGAGATGATTAAGGATTATTTTCAACTATTTTTAACGCAAAATTACGCTGGTAGAGTCCAATAATAAACAAGTTGAGTTGAGATCCTTGTATAACTATTATTAGCCTGAATGGATATTCAGTTCACTTCAATTTGATTTTATTTATAGAGAGAATCAAATCACAACAACAGTCACCTCAAGGCATTTTATATTGTATTGTGAAGAGGAAAGCTCCAACAATCAGAAGACCTGCTATGAGCAAACACTTGATAGTGAGAAGAAAAACTTCTCGGTATCACCCCTTTTAACAGGACCAAACCTCATGCACAACCACGCTCAGGGAGGGGCAGCTATTGGCCATGACCGTTTGGGGACAGGAGGTACTAAGTTAATTTTACTTTTTTAATGTTGTTGTTGTTTTGTGTTTTTTTTTTTTTTTTTTTAAATGCTGTAGTACCCCCACGCTGTTGGCAAGAACACCCTGCTGATCGCTGGGCTCCAGGCTCGAAACAATGCCAGAGTGGTGTTTAGTGGCTCCTTGGACTTCTTCAGCGATGCCTTCTTCAACTCTGCAGTGCAGAAAGCCACACCAGGTTCACAGAGGTACTCCTGTCAGTGATGGCCTGGCTTGTTTTTCTTCCATGTGAATGTTACAAGTTCAAACACATTTACTGCAGATTTCTGCAAGTTTAGATGCTTAGAATGTGTTCCACTGAGTTTGCAGTTTAGTGCGTTTGACCTCCTAAAGCTAATCTGTAGGTGGAAAACAGCCTTAAAATGTAAGATTGTAATAACTAGTCACTGATATTAGATTTGGTTACAATATAGTTGGTTACAGATGTCAGTGTTCCCTGTCCTTGTGGGCTTTTTCAGGCACGAGCGGACAGGGAACATGGAGCTGGCCGAGGCTCTGTCTCGCTGGGTGTTCAAGGAGGCTGGAGTCCTCAGAGTGGGAGCTGTTACCCATCATCGCGTGGGGGAGACCGACGCCCCCACAGCATACACCATCACCGACCTCGTGGTGGGTCTTGTTGTCTGTTTGTTATCATCACCGTGAAGATATTTGTTTTTAATGCAGTGTCGCTCAATCACTGTAAACCCTTTTCATGCAGGAATACAGCATTGTCATTGAGATGTTGTCCGAGGGCCGTTGGATCCCATTCGACGGAGATGATATCCAGCTTGAGTTTGTGAGGATCGATCCCTTCGTCCGGACTTATCTCAAGAAAAATGGTATGGTATTGTATTATAGAATATATTTACATTCATTTACGTCTTGTTTACAACCTACATGTATTGTTTTTATGTTTGGCAGGATTGACTTCATATTCTCGTCATATTTACAAACTGCATTTATGATAAATGTTCCATTGTTGTTCAACTAGGAGGTAAATACAGTGTCCAGTTCAAGCTGCCTGATGTGTATGGAGTCTTCCAGTTTAAAGTGGACTATAACCGACTAGGATATACACATCTCTACTCCTCCACTCAGGCAAGTTCATCAGAAGTTCCCTCCTAAAGACTGAGTCATGTTGAGTTTATTTACTATAAGATAAATGTATAGAAATGGTAAATATGGAAAGTATTGCTCAATTAATCATCCTGGTTACTACCTCTGTTCTTTTATCAATCATTTGTTGTAATAGTAACATAGTAACCTATTAGTTGATGTGCTGTATGGCTTGCTAACTAATCCAGTTGTGTTTCTCCACCGTAGGTATCGGTGCGTCCTCTGCAGCACACCCAGTATGAGCGCTTCATCCCCTCAGCCTACCCATACTATGCCAGTGTCTTCTCCATGATGGCTGGACTCTTTGTCTTCAGCGTAGTTTTCCTCCACATGAAAGAGAAGGAGAAGTCTGACTAATACAGAATGCCAGTGGGGAAGAGAAAATAAGACTGGAAGTGAACTTGTGGTGTGAAGAGTGGAAATGAATGTCGTGATGGCTTGAGTCTTCATGCAGGGACTTGGACTGTTTCTGTTCTGTTATTGGGGAACTCACTTTGTCGGGGTCTGAGGGCCAAAAGAGGCCCTGACTGTAATGCAGTGGTTGTGGGAGGTTTTTTTACACTTTGGAATCACTCAGTGGCCCTTGTCTGTTCAGAAGTCAGTCAGCGTTTGTTTAAAGTTGCTTTACAATTGATTAAATATTTCAAGTCAAACATTTGCTTAGAAATGGGGAAGAAATTTACAATAAAATTTGACCTGCATTGTTTTATTTTTCAGCCAGAAAAGTTTATTGTGGTAACTACATGCACTGATTATGGCAACAACTCATTTGTTTGTTTTTTTTTGATAAGATTAATGTGTTTCCAAATAAGTTGGAGTCATCTTAATAAAATATTGACATTCCACTCAATAGAAATGCCTGTTGTCTCTGTAACTTAACACGCAATAACGGTGTTCATTGAAATGTTACAATGTGGAGCTGCTATGATTTGTGCTTAAGGCAAAATAAATGTTTAATGACACTCATTTTAATGTGCAGATACTTAACAAGAAGCGAAATGTGGGGAAAAGTAAAAATGAACAACTATCAAAACTCTAGATATTAAACAAACCTTAATCTTGATATGTGCACATTTTTAAAAAAGAGCCAGGGTGCTTTAGCATTTACCAAGATGAACAAGGTCTGAAGAAGAGCTGGAAACGCTGGGGAAAAAAAGTTTATGACTAAGTTAAAACAGTGGAGTCTTGTGCCGAATTCATCACTTCATTCAGATTAATTCAATCACACACTAATTTACATTGATATTGGGTTTTGGCACAATTCTGAGCATAAAATCTTTAAATTTGCGAAAATTTAAGGTCCTTCAGTCTGCGATTAACAAACCGGATGACGTCATTGACGTAACTCACTGACGGCGTGAGTTCAGTTGTCACTCAGAAGACGATAGCATGAAAGTAACCTTAGCATGCGTTACATTGATTAATTAACTACGGAAATAAGCACAAAGAGGTGACTTAAAGTAGGCGTAGTTCACAAGTGGCAGTCAAAGTAATAAAACGCAGAGTGTGAGAAAAATCAGTTCTACTAACAGTAAAATGTGGGTTAACTTTAAAACTTGTTAGCTATCGCAAGCCCCTAGAAAAAAAAAGTCGAGTGGCTAAAGCTAATGCACAGCCATAGGGTAACTGCACTAGGTTAACCGGGCTGTTCAGTGACTGAGGTTACACCGCTTCGCTGTTTTTTTTGGCGTTAGCACTATAGTCCCGAGCTAGTGTCGGTCGCTAACACTGACATTAGTCCTATATTGCTAGTTTGGAAACCAGTTGTGTTGGTGGGCAGGATAATGTTAGCAAGCTACTGCAGGCGGCGTTAGCTTTAGCAAAACAAGTGCTTTGAGTCAGCTGACTGCCTGCTGAAAGCTGCCAACAGACCAGTGATGGATCAACTGAAAGTAAAGGATCGTATATTGGAAAATATCTCATTTTCTGTTAAGAAGGTAAGCGCTGCTGGGGTTGGTTACCGCTAAAATACTGCCAGACATTTTCGCGTTAAGATTTTTCACACGTTTGAATCACTATAGCTAACATTAGGTCATCTTTTGTCTGCTAAAGAGGGCAACTTTCAAGTCAGGAGGACACAGGAGGGCCTTGCCCCTACTGATAAAGAGAAAATAGCGCAGTAGATGTTTCATATAATGTTTTATGGCTCCAGCTCTCAGTTAAGTAGAAGTTTGTGTCTTTTTTGGCTATGGTAACAAAAGTGACACCAAGCCCCTGTGTTTGTTTACTGCGGCATCTGTTATAAACATACCTGCAACCATAAATCCGACACATTTGTAGCAAAAGAGGTCAGTGGATCTTTGCTCTTGATTTTAAATGTAAGTAATGGGCCATTTTGGAAGTCATGTGCAGATCTGCTAGGTGTTGTGGAACATTTCCTATAACCTGACAGACAGCATTGCACCGTCTTCCTTCTTCTCTCCCAGTTAGCTTTTGCATTCGTTTTCAAAAACCACGTTTTTCTATTTAATGATTTATTTTTTGTCATTTTATTTATTGTTTTATATCGTTTTATATTATTACTGTTATTTATATATTTAATCTTCTTCCCCTTGACATTTTCATTTATCTGTGTTGTATTTTCCAGTCCAAATCACCAGTCCCATAATCGGGTGTTTGAATTAGAAAAATTCCATATTTGTTTATTCCATCAAGCAAATATTTGTGTTTCACCAGGTTTTACCCTGTAATTTACCATGTTCATATGTTTTATTGGACTGACACCTAAAGGACTGTAACAGTGCTTGTAAGCAGATATTCCTCAAGCTTGTGGGCAAATGTACAGTGTTTACCTCTGACAAACATTAGTCATGTGAATAAAGTCACAGGAAATAAATGATCGTTTTTTTCTTGAGTTGCAATCCTCAAACCCCAAAGCGCACACAGTTTGTTCATGCTTTGGTATTTTAATACATTATATTAGGTTCAGGATTAAGTTCAAGGGGCTTTGCAGGTCAGTCCAGGACAATGAAACAGTGTTGCCTGTCACTATTTGGTCCTCGGTGCCAGCACATGCGATTTGAAGTGAAATAGTCACTACAAGGATAGAAGTGGCACCGCTCATCACTAATCACATTGAAGACCAATCACGTGAACAATGTATGAACTAAAGCCTGTTTAGTACCTCCTGTCCCTATTATAGGTAACAAGAAATACATGCATATCCTATAGCTAGCTGAAGTCTCCAGCCCAGAGTCAAAGATATTTTATGAAGTCTGTGCTGCAGCCAACTTACCTTGACTGTCAATGTAAATCATGAAAGGCGAACTTTCTTGGCAAGTCCTTGACTTGGCTTAAATTCCTTGGTTAACTGTGTGTTGTATTGTATGATTAATTTTCTTGAGACCTTGTCCTAAATGTTATTCATGCAGTGTTGATGGCATCCATAAATATACTTTAACTTCATCATCAATTATATTGCTTTAGTTTCATACAACATCATCTTTGATTTCAAACAGATAGTTTGAAATCAAAGATGCCGTTGTGTGAAACTAAAGCAATACAAATAACAGTGAATGACCAGTTTTACAAATTCAGTCATGGGAAGAGGTCCTTTACATGGTTATTGGTGGCTATTTTATTTGTCTAGAGTGAATGAACAACAAAACAAACCAACGATGTCTCTTCACAGCTGCAGAGTTACTTTGCTGCCTGCGAGGATGAAACTCCAGCTATTCGGAATCACGACCGGGTACTGCAACGGCTCTGTGAACACCTTGACCACGCTCTGCTATATGGGTAAGATGGTCACTAGAAGCAGATTGCACACACTGTACATAAAAGCTACCATGACACCATGATTTGCAAAATTCCCATCAAGCTGAGCATTTTACTTGTTGCCATTTGAGTCCTTTCAAGCTACATGTCAGTGTGTAGACACCCCAAAAGGTTGGTTTCGTCACTCATCCAAATGACTTTTTCAGTCTCAGCTGACTGTAGGTTTCCCCAACCTTAAAAAACAGAACATTTGTACAGTAACTGAGACCAGCCCAATGAATGAACAATGAGCTGTGAGGTCAGTGTCTTGATCATTAATATGCAAATTGTCACAACCGTTGATAAACAACCACCGATCAAAGTCCATTGATCATTGATCAAAGTCCATTTATCATTGATCAAAGGCCATGAGTGTGGAGACAGCTTGTTCGATTTGTCAACAACAAGATGGTCCTGCCCTAAAGCATAGACTTGTACAAAATAAACATCATGTTCTGTTTCCATAAGACCTGAACCTAGAAACTGAGACCATAAACTCTTCCAGAAAATGTTTACTGAGGCCATGAATCAATGGACGAACAGTCCACTTTTGCTATGCGCTCTGACTTTTTGCAGCTGTGTGAGACTCCCCCTGCTGATGAGGGAGAATGCTGTTTAAAATCTCTTCTGCACTGCTTCAGTTTTCAGATCCAGATGTTGAATAGATCTTTTGTATAAAGTCTATGGATTGAAAGAGCAAACATTTGTATCAGTTGTATTTTTTCTGTGTTTTTCTGCAAGAATTATGTCCATCCATGATATCTGTTACAACTTGTGGATGCTTTTGGTTTCAGTTTACATATACACTTTTCACTGCAGGCTGCAAGACATTTCTTCAGGCTACTGGGTGCTGGTCCTTCACTTCACTAGAAGAGAGGCTGTGCGGCAGATAGATGAGCTTCAGCACATAGCAACCAACCTTGGTCGAAGTGAGGCATCTCTCTTAGACCAGCACACACACATGTGGAGTACTTGGAGAGTAAATTATTACTGAACTATTATGTTTGTTGTTTGTAGGTCGTGCATGGCTATACCTGGCACTGAGCGAGAGCTCTTTAGAGAGCTATCTTCGGCTCTTTCAGGAGAACCAAGCACTGCTGCATAAGTATTATTTCAAGTAAGTCATCTAGTCGTTTGATCCCGATGGCTTAAAGGAAATGAAATGTTGCTAATCAGTTATATTGAAACTGAAACATTGTCTTTTGTGAACACGTCTCACAAATTTTTGTTTTTTAAAAAAAATTCTTCACGGGTAGGAACGCACTGGTCTGCAGTCACGACCACCTCACGCTCTTTCTCACACTGGTGTCCGGCCTGGAGTTCATTCGCTTCGATCTGGAGCTGGTTAGCATATACTTGACTACCATATCAATACAAGCTAAATTTCTTAAATGACTGCAGCATAACTATATGTTTTTGTTGGGTCTTGGTGGTTCAGGATGTGCCCTATCTAGATGTGGCCCCCTACATGCCAGAATACTACAAACCACAGAACCTGCTGGACTTTGAGGAAAGACTGCCCAGCTCAGACAGCCTGTCTCTGCACTCCTTCACCTCCCTCACCTCCACCAACCTGGAGTGGGATGATAGTGCCATAGCTCCTTCTAGTGAAGGTAAGGTGTACTTAATGTGCTAATCCGTAGCTAATTTTTATTTCCTGCTTTTCTTACTTTTCTTCAGATTTGATTATGTGTGTTTTAGAGTAGAGAAACAGACTAACTGGTTTTGCAATCTTTGCAACTTTACACGCTATTAATTCTTTAATAGCCCTTAAAGTCAAGATTGAGTAGTCAGTTTATTTTATTTATTGAATTTTTTTTAATAGCCAATAGAAATATGTAGTGTTAGTTTTAAGTGTTGCTGTGTCTGCAGTGTGTGGAATTAGCTCTCGTGTCATTATATTCTGCTCTTCTGCTGAGAGGACATGCAGGCATGGCAGGCTGTATTTTGGGGTTTATGATGTAATCAGGGTTCACATCAGTGCAATCACACACTCATGTGCTTTTGCTCATACTGTGATGTCAGGCTAATGGCATGTCAAAGCAGAAGTTAGTTTGACCTTGGCCTTTTATTACTCACAGATATCAAAGTGCATT